AGAGTCGCATTTAACAATGCAGCCGCAACGTTACCCATCGAAATAAGTTCTAATTGGTTTCGGACCTCAGTGGCTGGTTTTTTCCATCACATTAACTCTTGAGGCTTGTCCATTCTACTGTGTTCCCTCACACTGAAACGTACAAGGAAAACAGTGTTGCATCGAAACAATTGGAACGACTGTTTTGTGCCAATCAGTTACACAAATAATCGTGTTTGTTTGTACGTCACGTCATATTCATCTCCACCAGTGTCTAAGTCGTATTCCAATCCAACAAGCATTGTGTCATATGGGACTAAAAAAAGAAACACAATATGGTTTACAGTTCACAACATTTTCTCGTTGATGCCTATGTGGTATTATTGGTTTTAATCAGTTTTCATTCCAATAAATCATTTATCTCTGGATTCTGTCCGTTCTTTGTGCACAGTTGCTACTCGTACTATGTCGAAGTTTCTTTGGATCAGGTCACATGGCACCAGANTGTGGACTATCAAAACTATCCGTGTCGTTCTTGGCAAACACTCCATTTTCCCGCTCGTGTAATCCACTATATTCGTGTGACGGGGACACGAAACACAGCAAACCGCACATTTCATCTGATCACCTTTCGCTGCCTGTACACAGAGAACGTGTGCCAACAAGTGGACGGTTTTCTCATTCCCACATATAATGTGGCCAGTGTGGAGCACGGAGCCACGGTTCTGGAAGGAGTGAGTCGCAATCGGAACGCCCTGATTGATGGGAATGCTCGAATGTACGATTGGAATTCGGGATACACGTGCCATCAACTCGGTAACGGGGCGATTGTTGTTCAACTAGCACAACCGTTTCTCCTGCGCTCAATGCGTCTCCTATTGTGGGATTTGGACGATCGAACCTACAGCTATTCAGTGCACGTATCGACCAATCGAGAAGATTGGCGTCTGGTGCACGACGCGACACGAGAGCATTGCCAGTCGTGGCAGATTATCACATTCCCCCTTCAGTTGGTCACATTTATTCGAGTGGTCGGATCGCACAATACCGCGAATGAGGTGTTTCATTTGGTACATCTTGAGTGCCCATATCCACCGGCAGAGCAACAACCGGACGATCGAGCCGATTCACCAAAAGATGATGGTCATCCTGCACAGAGTTTACCTGATCCCAATCCAGACTTTGGGGGAATACTGACCAGTAGCGGGGCACCTAGTGAATCCAATTCTCTGACTGAACATCCTTCTTACCAGGCCACCCAAGCGACAGAATTGTTAGATCATTCAAGTGTCTTGGCATTGGATACGGTGACTAATTCGTCCGTTTACGCCACAGAATTAGAAACCCGACCGAATTCCCCTCCGATCACGACAGTTTTGGGGCGTTCAGGCACCGCAGAATCTCTCCCCCAATTGGCCCCAGTTGCTGGTGGTTCATTAACTAATCTCCCCGATCCGGACCATTTGCATTTGGGTGAAAATCCCTCGGAACCGGAACCAGATTCATCCATTTATACCAGTCGTTTTAGTTTGGATCGAGCTGAATCTCAACATGGCTACAATCGTCCAACGAATCTTGCAACCAGCACAGATGGACAGGAGAACCTCCAAGTCCCCGAAACCTATTCAGAAGTTGGTCGTTCCCTGTCACGTCATTTGTCAATTGGGTCGTCCGTATGCGGCTTGCCCGTGAACAACAACAACAACAACACTACGGTCATATCCTCGGGTTCGACTCGAAACACCTCCTCCGTGGTCCACGCCCGAACGACCAATTCACGTGCACAGAATTCCCACTCTTCTCTTCCGATGCTCGAGCCAGCTGAGCAGAATATCTCTTTTCCTTGAATTCAAGATTCCGTTTATTTCATGGATCATCATCATCATCATCATCCAATTCTGACTTGTCCGGTTTCCCGTTATCACTCGGTGCGATCAATCATCATCTGTGATCCTTGGGACAGGTGGTTTTCTGTTCCGTTCGCTTCTTTTCTTCTCTCTTTTCATTTCGGTCATCTAGCCCCACACCGCCTCTCGGACTGTGTCTATCTCGTGGCATTCTGTATACGTGCAGCATCGTACGTCAACACTGTGACTGTACTGCGTTATACACGCAGTGTACCATTCTACACTAACATCATATGTTAATCTCTCCTTGACTAAGAGATGTTTTCCCCTCAAGTTTGATGTGATATGTCGGTACATGAAAACGTTGACAACAGTTGTTTACCTTTTGTTCAAGCATTTTTCTGCTAATCCAGCGTGCTTCGTCGGGCACATCTCTGCTTGTTGCACAATAACTTTTACGGTTCGCAGAACACCCAGGGGGGCGATGTATTTGTGATGAATTTTTGCGTAGTGATCGACAAAGCGCAGTGGATAGCTGTTGGGACTTGCCAGAAGTGTGTACATGTGTCCCTGTGTCAGAAATCGAACTCTTTGATTGAAACCCGAAACCTTTGCGTTCGTTACACGATCGAATAAACAACCAGTAGATAATAATTTCAACACAAATGAAATACATTTAAATAACTGGATAGTTAAGGGGTTTCTTGACGAGTAAAACCAAAATTAGGAGAATGCTGGACTCATAGTGACGTGTGAATTAGCCTAAGCTCAAGCGAGAATGTGCATGAGTAATCGCTGCGTCGTGTTTTTGTGCATGTGCTTCTGTTTTGCATGAGGATGGTCTTCCAACCACCATTAGGGCGTCTCTCTACACCCTTTCTTACTCACTTACTTTACGGCGGCTGGCTCCTGGGAGAGGATAAATCGGCTTCATGAATATCCCGTATTGCCGCTGCCCACACTCGGCGGTCTGCTGCAAGGTCAGCGCGGATTGTAATCCAGCTTGACTTCCATTGGTAAATGCTGTAGACGGAATGGAGACCAAGGGTTGACTGAATATCCATGAAATTTCTTGGGAGTACAGGAAACGTCCCCAGCGTCACCTGGCTTTAGGTCGAGGTGGCACATCTATCCAAGCTTCCAATAGGTTTTGCTCAACGAATAGTGTTCCGGTGTATCCTAGCTTTCACCCAGGCGGCCTCAGTTGGAATCCCGGTGCGGGAGCTAACATTTGCTAAGACCTGGCACGAGGGTATGAAAACCCTAACCAGGGGACTAAGTCACATAGGTCCCGTTAGGCTTCCCGGATGGGGACTTCGGGATGATCGTAACCGCTGGTTCAATACACTGAGTGTCGTAAACGGTGGCATTCGTGCATCTCAATTTCCTTGCAGTCATAGTTTACTCGAGTTCTCAATTTTTTCCTCGACTCTACCTTCAACCTTCCTGTCTTTCTCCTACTGTTAGTGCAAATACGTAGCCAAAAGACAGCAATCAAAACCGGCGTATGAAAGTGCATGGTTAATGGTTGTACAAACTGAAACTGATCCCGGCAAAAATGATAGATCACGTAGCAGAAATATTGGATCTCGTGACGAGGATCGTACACATTACCTACCCCACTGATTCGCAGTTGAGTGATTAGGTGGATTTCGTATAAGAATATCTCAGAGAGCGTGTAAACGATTTCCTGTTAACAGCACCTGATGTGCACACTGTGTCTGCGAGGCCACTGCATCGAGTTGGTTGGAAAGAAATTCATCTCCAGTAGTCATTGACATTCATCCGCAAACCCTTATTAACCTGACAAGCAGCAAAGCCGAGCTATCATTCCAGCATATTTTCGACAATACTGTTTCCACAAACAGAATAATTTTGTCAGTATACAAAGGCGGTTGTCTTAGTGACCGGGGTAACCACCGCCTCGGTACTCTTCTCCCTGTATTTTCCAAAGTTATGGAGTCCATTATTGCAGACAATGTGATGGGTCATAAAAAATTACCGTATTATCCCCATTGTGACATGTGATTCGGCACAAGCTGTCGTGTACTACGAACTTTTGGCCTCAGAGGAATGGACAAAAGCAGTTGATCACGGTGATGCAGTGAATGTAGTGTACTTTTTTCTAGGTATTATTCGTGGAAACCAAAAAATACTGCTGAACAATTGGGGAACTTTCACTTCTATATTGAACCATACGAGTCGTGTTGTGCGAAAATCTCTGTGGGCCACGGAAACTAACCGTTTGTAAACATTTCCCGTAATTAAACTTTATCTTTGAGTGACAAAAACTGTCAATGGAGAAGCATTTTGCGTCAGATGTTACTGGTAAATTTCAATCTACTAGTTCGATTTTTTCGAAATCCGTGATTTACAGTATGTATGTAAACGTGATTGTGGTGTCAAAAATAGTCAATTCATAGCTCAGTGAAGACCAAATTTTCTCTGAAAATTCTCGTAGACTCAATGTAAAACGAATTTCGAGCCTATAGCCACTCTAGGTAATTGCCAGCTTTTTCACGAGGTCATTGGATTAGTGGATTCCTAGGTAACGGGTAGAATACTGCAATCTGTTTGATCTATTCTCTCTCCTATTTGCGGGAAAAATCCTGGGTATGTGCTACCCTATCAGTATAACACGCTTCTCTATTGATCAACGCACTTTTCTGGCGTTTTCAAAAGACGCTCACACTGTTTTCCAATTGTTTCGTGACTGAACTCCTTGGGAGATTTCCAGGGGGGTAGGATTAGGTGATAAACGGACAGAGACAACACTATCCGACCTGATCACGGTTTTGTGGAAGCGTACTTGTGGATATTTCCAACTAAGATCAAATTCTTTATCTCCAAGAGATTCCGAGACAGGATACTCACACCAAAGTTGGTTGTTTTCGCATAACCAACGGTGTTCATGTCAGAGATTATGGAGCTTCCTGAACCTCATGGACAGAAAAGGTGAAAGCCATCGGACACTTTCTTCAGTAGTCGGTGGGAGATAAATCATAAAGACGTGGACGTTAGTCTGTCAAACGCACCGTTGTGGACCGTCAAAGGAGATCGCAGATTGTGAAGGGGTTTCACCAGGCAAATGATCTTGTAAAGCTCCCGAAGTCGNTGACCCTGTCCAATTGGCGTATGGTCCAATNGATACCAGAAGGCATATCATACACACATAATTTGTATGATACTCTCAAGCTCTTTAGAACATGGGAAATCCCCACGCTTAAGCGTTATCATGAAGTTTCAAGCTCCACTCGTTTCCAACAAATAGAATGTAAATTTGGTGAACAGGAGATAGTTGCACCTCAGAAGACGTACTTTCAGTGCTTGTTATAACGTAGGAGCCCTTGGCCACTTAGGATCAATATTTCTATGTAAATACGTAGATTTCATGATGATACTCGTGCCTCTGTCTTAGAGTGCGTGACATGTGCAGATGCAGTAAGCAGTAGAGTTTAAGTTCACAATGCAATTTTCTATGTTGTTTCTGTATGCTGAGCAATTCAACTCCTGATGGATAAGAACCTGTGTTTCACAAAATCCCAATGATCCGCTTTGGGCGGAATAAAGGGTCAGCCTAGGCATGATTGATTCCTGAAGATGATCTTTAACAGTGGCTCCACAATGTGATCGATAGAACTGAAAAATGCGGCATATACATCGTACATCGGGTGACTATAATGCGCATACCGAATCACATAACGTACACGCACGCCAGCGCGCAAATCAAACGTCTGACCATATTTTCTGATCTCCATCTAAAGGGTTGATTTGGCCTACGAGAACCATTTGGAGGCACAACGGTACATCAGGTTGATCACAAATCCAAAGAGTATCTGTGATCACATCAGGGCCCAAAGAAACAGAAAACATCAGTCTTGCTGGTTTAATCTCTGATCTACCTGCGTTGCCAAATTGAACATGTGGCTGACAATTCAATTCAGGAAGGGTGCGGTTGAGTCCCTCTCACTCGACACAGGTTGACCCGTTGCTTTCACTTCCATGATGTATTAGACAATTCCTACCAACCCTTGCTACAGGATTTTTTTACTAACATCTAGCCACAGGTCAAATCATTGATTCGTTTTTACTCGGAAAAGGCCCTCTACAACAGATCAGGCATTGTAAAACAACTGTACTTACTACTTGGTTCATTTGAGTAATATAATATTGAACATCTAGAAGGTTGTTCGCTGTGCAACACCATCCCGAGTTCCGGTGTTCTTGTTCTGATGGGTCATCATATAACAAGCAGTTTTCTAGGAATATGCTAATCCCTGACAATAGTTAATCTATAAACATTTCGTTTTTAACCGAGATGGTGACATTTCCACTGCAGTTGCAATTGCTTAGTGAGCAAGCTGCTGCACTCGATTTGCCAAGGTTGGTGAGTCGATGAATATTGTACATGAGATTGATAAAGGATTTGTGAAAATTCGGCTACTCAGCACCAGTTTCAAAAAGAATGGAGATCGCTTCGCATCTAAAACAATGTTTGGTTTAAAATCGTTGCAAAGATACTATCACAGCATGGTAATAAGTAACGAAAATGATGTAGCTACGGTCAGTGTTTTTCACGCATTGGCAACATTTAAGGTTAATCTGAGTGGTGCTGGTCAGTGGTATAGATATCGATCACCTCCACCCGGATCTCTGAGTACCACCACGAGCCCAACGTTTCCACTTCGTAATGTCAATTGGAAGCTTTTATTCCTTTATAATAATGTTGGCAGCTCCCCCCCATTTGGCGTTATCTCGGCTGGTTGAATCACCACAAGCACCCGATTCCTTGTTCACACAGAATTAACTTATCGGTATCAAGGCGCTGCTTACGACTAAGCTGTATTGCGTCAACCGGACCCGGCATTTGCGTATTAGACACTACGTTTTGAAATTGTTTCTATCCACGGAGCTGAAATAAATTTATCAAGTGTCTACGACTACCACTATCTAACGGTATCGGAATATCGGACAAAAGCAGTGAACAGGTATGTTTTGGG